ACGGAGCTATTCACAAGATGGTCTACGCAGTCTGTGAGGATATTTACAAGGCGGCGCACAACGCTTTGGAAGGTATTTGTCAGCGCGTTGGTCTATATGGATTTTATGAGTATTTCCAAAAGAACTGGGACTCGTGCCAAGACCGATGGGTATACTACCTACGTGCGAAGCTACCTCACTTCATGAATCACACTAATAATCGACTGGAAAGCTTTTTTGGAAAGTTGAAGGATGGTGTGGATGGATCAATGAGCATGGCGATGTGTGTGAAAGCGCTTGTCGCCCACGACCGCCGCGTGTCGAACGAATACCAATATCGACTCTCTCGTATTGGTCGCTTCGTTAACAGTTCGTACGACGAAGAGATGACAACGGTTTTACGCTTCACAACCCATTACGTTGCCCAGCAAGTCGAACAGCAGTATGCTACAGCGCTTGCAAAAGCGGAAACGTACAATTACGTGGATGATTCTGACGGAGGTGATTTCGTGGTTGTCAACGGAGTATTCTCTGAACACAAGGTGAATTTGGTTGACTGGCGTTGCGATTGTGATTTTTCGGTGTCTATGAAGCTGCCGTGTCGTCATGCTATCGCTTATCGAAGACACATCAAAGTATCTGGCCCTTTGATTCCGTGGGGAGGGATTGATGAAAGGTATGTTTCAAATTACATGTCTGTCCAGGATTGAGCAGGATTATCTATGCTTCATATTGGATTTATGGAAAATCCATTATTATCCAGGATTTATTTTGGATTTTCCTGATTATTCTTTTTTTTAATTTTTCAGGATTATCCAGGGTAACATTTTGGATTTTCCATGATTATTCTGGATATTATCCAGGATTTTATTTTGGTTTTACAGGATTTTCCAGGTTTATACACTTCGAATGAAATATGTGGCTAACGGTCTTTTTTTAATGTGTAGATGGACCACTGCGTCTCAACCATTGAAGAAGGTCAAGCAATTCTGTTATGAGCATTTCACTGATGCTGATCAAGGTTCTGCAAAAAACAAGTTGAGGACTCAATCCGAACGCTACAGAGAGGCAGTGAGGGCTACCCACCTTATTGCCAACGAAATGGCAGACATTGAGGACGAAACAGAATTCGACGAAATGCTACAGTTTGTCTTGGACCAGTGGCGTAATGTCCGCCAACGGAAAAGGACTTCTAAGATAAAGGGTGAAGAAGATGGCAGCGCTGACTCTGACGAACAGGGAGGGGATTGTGACGTGGTTAATGACGATCAAGTCAAGGCTGAGTTTGGTCTCATTTCCAGTGAAGAGGATGGAGATGACGACGTGAAGGGGACCAGGGAAGATGGAGCAGAAAGCAAAGACGAAAAAGAT